CCTTGAGGAACAAAGCTTGCTGGCCCAGGGACAGGGTGTCCTTGACTGAGCAGGCAAGAGAGTGTCTGCCAGCACTGCGGAGAGGACTAAGCTTCAAGTAGAGCATGCCGCATACAGCAAAGGGAAAGCACGTTTACCCAGGACAGCACTCTCAGGACAAACCGGGTGCGATACTGCTCTGTGAGGGTCCACAACTGCAGACCTCGCTACTGGCCTCCCCAGTGGGAACAACTGTTTCTCACTTGCTTTTCCCCTAATGCAACATGCTACTGCAAACACCAGATATGATACTGTACTTACTAAGCGGAAAGGGGAATCCCTCTACCCTACCAAGTGAATTCTCCTTGGGAAGGCAGAGAGGAAGGAACCAAGGAGATTACCCTTCAGGAATGCAATAAAACCCAGAGACCATATGCTTATCTAAGAATATAGATTAATTTTTATGAAATGCATCAAGTGGCAGGTATTTTTGGCTTGGTCATTTTCCACTTTCGACCAAAAAGTATTGCTTTTCAAAGCAAAGGGTATTATTCTACAATAATCTGAGGTGCTGCTAAATTTCTCCATTTTTTGTCGCTGGGTGCAAACAGACCTGTCAGACGGACAGACGGGAGGTGTCAGGTACCAGTACTTGGAGGATGACGTATAGAAAAACCTAGAAGGGAGAACAGGCTACACTGGGCTTTCAGACAGGTAAAGGAGTCAGACACCTGGCTTTGAAGGGTGAGGTGGCAGCGGCAGCATACTCCTACACTAGCCTGTGAAATCCGGACTGGGTGTCAGCTAAGCAAGGCATTCGTTTCTACCAAGTTTGGCTTCTGTTCTACCCTTCACCTTCAGAATACTCTTTCTTTGCAACTTGAGTCTCTTACCTGAAGCTGGAAAGTCATCTAAGAACTGGTCCCAGCTGTATATAGCAGAGAAGCCAACTTGGTAACCAGTCTGCTGTAGTCTCCTCATCTTAGTTTCAAGCTCACCAGAAGATGCTGCAAGAGCCAAGACGCGTTGTTACGGTCCATTCCAGAAGAACAATAAAGCAGAGTGTTAATTTCTGGCTGCCAAACACAAGAATATAGCAAAGTCTGCAAATGGTTTCTTACAGGGAAAGCAATGAGTATGCCAGTGTGCTTCAGACTAGACTCTGCAAGACTTTCCCACATATGAGGGCAGGGGGGCCTCTCTGAAAGCAAATCACCTCCTGCTGCAAGCAGCAGGGATGGAAGAGCAACAGGCACCCTCACCATGAGCAAATGCACATTTGTGACACTGCTCTGAAAAGATGACTCCACACCACCATTTCAGTCGAGCACTGTAATACTGGGGAATGCCAGAACTAAGCCTGCTCAGCCAGCTCCTGCTTGGCTCAGATGATTTACACATCCTTCTCCCCATGTCCAGCACAGGACAACTTGGAGCTCCTTGAGCACAAAGCCCTTGGCTGGTTTCTGCCTCCCACCCCCTCAGGTAGATGGGCCAGGCTTCATTTATTCCACACAGATAATTCAGTATCAAGAATAGGGTTTGAGCGCGTTCACACTTATGAACCTTCTTACACATCCCTTGTTTCAACACTAAAGCAAGTCTGTTAAATACCACGGCAGGGGGTGGGACTGTAATGATCTCTGTTGAGGTGGAAAGAGATAGCACCTGAGGTCTCCAGCCCTCAATCCCAGTGCTCAGCCTCTGAACTGCTGGGACCTCAGACTTCAAACACCCAGTGTGACACAGCCTGGAGCATGCTTGGAGCCTGGGACACGCCCCAGCCCTTTGCTACAGACCTGCTCTGAGCCCTCCTGGGGAGGGGTGGCTGAGACAGCTCTGCCCTGGGGCAGCGCGGCTTCGGCCAGGCCCTGGGCATGGCCAGAGGGGATTTGGCCAAGCCCTGTAATGGTCTTCTGTGTCAGTATCAACAATGTTCACGTTCAACTCCCTTGAGCAAAAACATTACAGAATAAACTTGGTAAAAACTCTGTAGTTGAGCATATGGAAATCTCTCATTCCCCTGTTTGTTTTCCAACTTTGGTTTGTCACGGCAGGATAGTGAAGAATTAAGAGGCAAGAGGAGCAAAAAAAATCAAATTAAACTGAAAATTTAATTTTAAAATTACATTAAGAGTTAAATTTTAATTCCCACCCAAAGAAAGTCATTATCCAAGAGTTAATCTGCATTCAGGCAACCACAACAAAAAATTACAACAAAGAGGGGACTGTGGAAAGGAGCAACATATTAGGTTCCTTCTCTGACAGCGTAGCAGCTTGTCGAGGGCAGGTACCCGGGCTGGACTCCAGAGAGCCTCCCCATCCTCTCACCTGATGCTCCCAGAAACAGGCCAACAGTGATTAGTCTCGATCAAATTACTGACAGCTGATGGAAACCGCCCCTAGAGTCATGTCTGGGCTGGGATATCCTGTTCATTGTCATCTGAAACAGTGTCTATGTGGATCACCCTTCAAGAAAGACCAACACCAATTAGAAAGCATCCACAGGCTACAACTAAGAAAGATCAGGGTTTCAGGAAACATGGTCTCACAGGATTAATCATAGGGTGAACACACTTGTTATTTCACGTCAGATTGAGAAGGCAGTGGAGAGCTGTGTAAGGGCCTTTAAGTATTTAAAAGGATGCTGCAAATAAAATGGGAATTAAATTCTCCATGTCCTCCGTGTTGAGGGCAAGGAGGAATGGGCTTTAAACAAAGCAAAGGAAATGCAGTTGAGACGTTATGGAAGAGGATCCAGAGGCAGTGTGAAAGATCTAAGGTACCATGAGTTAAAAGAATGAGGAATTATGGGTTGCACCTTGTAATGCAAGGAACAGAGAGCTTACACAGCCCTGTCTTATGAAAACAGATGGGTATCCTCTATGGTGACAGCTGAAGAAAAGCACTTCTTACTTCATTTAAAATACAGCATTTCAAAATACTTTTTTGAGGGGATAAAGATCTCACCAGTCTATTTTTTCAGAGCTAATAAGCATATATTACAGGCTAATTTGATGCAGAGACTACATGGTGAAATGTTTTCATCTGCCTTTTATAGAGGCAATTGCCATAGATAAGAATGCGCCTTTTATTATTTCATTAATACATTTACAGAATAAACTATAACCAGAGTGAGTCTAATGATAGAACTATCTCTAGATTCAGCCCACTAAGTTGTGGTGCCTTCATGACTCACTGAAAAAATATTGGGTAACTTGACATTTGAGGGTCTGCTGAGTGTCTGAGTAGTCTCATCTGTACCTCAGAGTAGTTTCGATCAATATTCTAATATCCTGGAGTTACAAGTTCATCCCTCCAGAAGAATAAAAATACATCCTGCTGTTCAGGAAAGATTACAAGTACAGGAAAATACATTTCAACATACATAACTTCAATCTACCAGTACAGAGCAGCCTGATTATGGCTTTGACTTTCCCAGTGTGCTGCTTTGGTCATACATAATTTTTTCATTCCTGATGTATCAGTAATAAAACTTGATCTATCATGCAAAAATAAGAATTACATCTAAATTTGCTTTTGTGATTATATGTCTGACTGGGAGCCTCCAGTGATAAAAAGCTATTCCCACTTTCAAAGTAAAGGCTTGTAGCTCCTGAGAGCAGCTTAAACAGCTTTTCACAAGATAATGCTATGATACGGAATGTTTCGGCTTGAGGAAGGTTACCATCACAGAAATCATCAGACACTGTAAAAAACATCAACTAGATTCTTTCTGTATGAAATAGCTTTAGCAAACAGTAAGCCACTGGCCAACAGAAGCTGACGTTCTCCAAATTCAGACCAGTTGCCCATTGTGAATGTTTATATTTTCAGTGTCTATAGTTTTTGAGAAGCTTTTGACACGATTGGCAGAAGATGATCCCACATCCAAAAGCGGCCCCATGCCAGCTTGCAGCAATGGCCATTTTATTTTAAGCAGAGAACATTGTGTTGCCCAGCTGAAAAGCTTAAGTCTATTTGGATGTCTATTTTCAGCCATGATTGGGCAGATTTTCACAGGGGAGCTAGAGCCACACAAGAATGCTTCCTCTGCTGAATTTTGGGATTGTGTCCAAAGAAGTGCCAAACTCACATGGCTCAAGTTATCTGCCCTGAAACATACCAAAACTTTTAAACTTACTTTCTTCAAAGCTCAGGAAAGTTGTGAACACAGTGAAGGGAAGATCTTCCAACATAGTCTTTAGACATCAGAGACACAGTTACAAGTTTTTCCCTTAGTATGTTACAAGTTTAATTGTGCAAAAATACAGTCATCAAGACTTCAGCTTTGTCATGAACTGAATACAATTCCAGCGAGGTACATGTATGGAACAAGATACTACTGTAATCAGAGTAAATACACCACAAATGTTGTTGAGACAACCAAGTGGTTTGATACACTTGAGACACTGTTCACAAGTGATTTAGACAACCTGTATTTAACCACTGTACTCAAGAGAATCAAAGAAATGACACCTAAAAGGGAGGCTAGTAGCAGACTAATGAAGTTTAAGACTGCACTAACTCAAAAGATCATTAAAAAATGGTTTAGACAGATTCTCCAGTGATGGCCAATAATTAGTCTGCGACACCAGCAGGCATGAAGTGCAACTCCTCTTCATTCAACACAGTATATATTGTGTTTCAGAAAAATAAAAGGCTTTCCTAATGCCAGTATTTCTTTCAAGCACAGGAAGATGAAGCACTAAGAACCTTTTAAATTGTGTTTTAAACTATGAGACACCAATGGTCTTGCAAAAGAAACAGATGAGAAAAAAAAACCACCCATAAAAAACAGAGCTCAGTCCTCCAGCTTCACCACTTAAAAAACCCCAAAACACCAAAATAATACATATAGACAAGAAAGGCATTGCTGAATCCCCTCGTCCCCATTAAAATCTTCCTGTATTGCCTACGTCACTGAGGAAAAAAACCCAAGTTTTCCAAGCAATTCCTCCCCTTGCGCATCCAAGTTTTAACACAATCAGATCAGACATTCATGACACTGTTCTGTGCAGCTACTTTTTGGTCTTAACAAATCTACGTGCTTCTTGCAAAAGCGTTTCAACATCTTCGTTATCTTTCTCCTCTGAACTTGGTTCCCAGTCAGAGTCTTCATCAGTAGGTTCGCACTCCTCTTCCTCATCATCTATAAAGCTGTCATTAGGGTCATATTCATTTGGTTCACCATTGTCGCCGTCTTTCTCCTCAGCCCTTTTTCCTGTAGGGACAAAAATGTCATATATTCATGAATTATAAGTACAGAAAGAAAGAGACCCTGCAGAGACTACCCAGTTAGTCTCTCTCCTCAAGAGGAGAGAGAATCAATTAAAGCACTTTACCCAATGCTTACTATTTTGATGTTCAAGATTTTCATGAAAAACTGTACGATCTCTCTCTGACCCCTACTGCAGCACTTACCAGTCTGATCACTTAGAAAGCTTTCCTTATTGGCTTTTGTTCCAGCACTTGGAAAACAGCATCAGGTCTCTTCTGTCAACATCTTCTGATATCAGAAGAAAACAGCACCAGATAACACCTTCTGATAACTCTCCTTTCCCTAAACGGTGGCACACACAATTTTCCTGGTCCTCTTCCTGCTACTTCTGTACCTAAACAATACAGCTATCTTGCCATTTAGCGTCTAGGTATTGCTAGGCGGCTATTTGGACCCTAGATTTTCTGTCTTCATCTATCCATACTTACTGAAGGCTATTTTATAGTAATACCCTTTTGCAACCTGACATGGCTTTTAATTCCCATTCACTTCTTTCCTGAGCTTCAGGCGAGAGAAGGGCATCTGCTAGGTCACTCGTCTCCTACGTTCTCAGCTTGGATCCATGCTGGATAGTCTGTGCTTCCTTTCTGAACACGGGTTAAGGAAACAATAAATGCTGAACGCTTCTTTCCTGAGTGGGTGCAGCCTATCTGTTTCCCAGTTCAGTCTGTTCTATTATGCTGCTTTCTAATCTGCTGTCCATCCGTCTTCTTCACAACTTACATTTTGTGATCAACTTGCCTTCTGCCTTCACAGTATTTCACAATACTCTATATTGACAGGAATCAAAGACTCAGAAACCTCTATTTACCAGAAATGGATGCTGTTCACAGTGTTTTGCTAAACTCGTTTAGACAGCTTGTCTTGCAGTATTCTTTTAATTGCTTGAATACATTGGCACATTTAAACCAATTCCCGGAGGCAGGGTAATTCCACTACCTGAAGAAGCCTTATCTATCTGACTTGGTAGTATCTATACAAAGCTGCTGCTATGCCAGCATTGCCTTCTCCTTTTACTTATCAGTAGCTGTGAATCTTTATTTCCACTGCTTCCTGATATTGGCAGATGTGTGTAACCCTCACTCTACAAGCCTACGCTATCTCCCTTTTTCTCACATGCCCACAGTTCCTCACTAGCCACAGTCTGTTAATACTCCAATTGTGTTACTCTGCCCTTAAATCATACCTCTGAGTAAAACCATGTCCATTCCTCTTCTTCCCAGCCTCCAATTTTTGCATTATCTCATCTAGTCATAACCTGTCAACAATCTCATAGAGGTAATTTATCTGTTCAGTAGTTCTAATCATCCTTCATATGAAACTATAAACATGTATTTTTTTCTCAGCTACAGATCCCAGTCCAAATCACCAACATTAATATTAATCATAGGCATTTCTTAGCAACCTCTTGAAACCTCAGGCCAGGGCTCCAGGCACTCCAGCTATGCGTGTGGTGAACAAACGAGAACATCAGTACCACATCCTCTATCCATTACATTTTTCTACTAGTGGGATCGTTACTATTCCAGAATTCTCTTATGGTCTGATTAACATTTTATACTCTATAGCAACTCTCACGCAAGGTTTTCAGAAGCATTTGCAGCACTAGATAAGTTTCTTAAAGATGCACAATTTTACGGGTGAATTGTGCTACAGAGGCACCAGAATGACCTCCTAGAATCATGTCAGCCATGTGTGACACAGCCAATAATGTAACTGAGAAATCTACGGGTGGCAATCTATACTCTTTCAAGGACTAACTGTGCACCACCCAGCAGAAAAATCCTGAAAATGTGAACTGTCAATGTGAGCTGTAATCCACTATTATGCTTGCCAGTTCATTGTCTACCAGACTTCTTGTAAGAATCTCAGACTATGGTCCTGCAGAATGAAGTATGTCTTGGAGGGGAGAGGTCAAAACAAAGATGCTAAATACAATAAGAACAAAATCCCTCTTCTCATGCTAAGCTTATGAGAATAATAAGCCCAAGATCTGCTTAGCAAAGAAAAGCTGCTCTTCACTTCCACAGCACTGTGGGTGGTATTTTACAACAGAAGTAGGAATTCTGGCAAAATACGGATTACTGACATATTTTTCCTACAACTGTACAAGGAGTATATTATGTTTTTCCTCCCTGTACATCAATGCTTTTAGATTTCAACAGTGAATAATGCACTTCCTTCCATGTCTTGCCACTCCACCTCTTTCCGCTATAGTTTAATTCAGCCTCGCAGCCCCTAAAGCTGCTCATCAAGCACAATTCTGCCTTTTCCCTAGCACTGTATTTATAAAGGTGACCTTGAAACTTTCTCCATAATGTCAGGAGAAAAAGCTTGCTGACCACCCCTTTCAGACAGTTGTATTTGGAAGTGAGCTAATTACAAAGAAGCATCTAGGAGAACCCTGCATAGTCCATAGCCACACCAGGTCACCCTGCTAAGCAGCAACCATGTAGTGAGGTCATTCAGTAGTGACAATTTACTGACAGCATAACTCTGACCTTTTTCTTTTTCTTCCTCCCTTACAACTATTCCCCCAGCAATTAGCCTTAGATTATTTCTCAGAACATATACCACATTCTCTACTAGCAATTTGCAATCCCTCTGGTAGAAATTAAGACTAAAACTGTTAAATATGTCAAACATCATGTAGACGGTACCCTTTTTTTCTTGGCTTGTGGACTTTACATACACTTGTATGGAAATTAATCCTGCTGTGCTTAACAGTGTAGTTGTGCCAAACGACACCAAGTAAAGGTTAATGGAGCCCTGTTTGGCTGTGCAACCTTGCATGGCTCGGCACGACTGCCTCAGATGTGGGCTTACTGAGCCCAACCTTTTACAAGCTTTGCCCTCAAGAGAGCTAAGCATGTCAGTCAACAACACATTGAAAGAAAATATTAAAAAAATCAGCAAACAGGAGCAGCACTTTAATTAATGAATTCCCTCCTTCTCCCTGTGCATGGGGTATCAATTCTTCCCTGGTTCTTACTTAGTAAGAGGAGATAAATTTGACAGACTGAACTTCAATTCCATGTCAAAAGTTTTACATGGTTACAAAAGAAGCACTTTCCTATTCTTAGTCATGCTTGGCTGACCACGTGCTGTGAGCTGTACATCCAGGATCTACCATTCAGGTAAGGAAGGTGTTCTTATGAAAGGCACAGCTACAATTTAAAACTTTCCAGATTAAATAGACTTTAGAGATGCACACAGTCCAGCTTGCTTCATTATAAAATCTTAACCATGCACTGCTCTTACAATGCTGCTAACAATTCTCACCACGCTGTAACACACATTTCTACAAGGAAGCAGTGATCAAGATGGGGCTGGTACTTGCATCATGGGGATGTGGCAAAGCATACAGATAACAAACACGCCTCAGAATATGCTAGTGCACAGATACAACCACATCGAGCATCCAGTGATGGCAAAAGTGCATGTGTACATGATAAGGAAATGGAACAGGAAAGAAATTTCTCAGTGTGAAGAATAAAAGCTATCTCTTGCATCCACCCACAACAGAAATGGAGGCCAAAACACTTAGCCTAGAAAACTAACTACACCTATCTGCACTTTATTTATTTTCTCTAGAAGGCAGATCTCTCTGGTTTGAGGATTTCTTTAGGAAATACCCTGCCACACCTTGGTGATCTGAAGGAAGGCAAGCCAGCTCCCATCTCCACTTGAGATGCAGCACTTCCACATCTTCATGCCTTGTTCAGGCCAGTGAAAACGAAGATGGCATATCATCAGACTTTCACTTTTAAATTATTTTAGAAAAAATAGGAAGCTTCACATTTGAAAGCTGAGACACAGAAGAAGCCTGGAAACAGACCTAAAGCATATTTAAAACTGGAATCTATGCACCTGCCACATACAAGTTAACCTTGTTGGCAGCAGTAAAGCAAGCTAGGTGTGCCACTGGTACATGGAGGAGACGTTCATACACAGTATCACAATTTACATTATCAAGAGACACTACAGCTTGCCTGTGCTACCAAATAATCCTCACTGATGACTAGAAACTGAAATAAGCAGGATACATATGTAGTTTACAGTGAAAGCTGCCCCCAACTCAAAGGCATTAACCTTCTTCTACACTTAAATTCTAACAAGCCAGTATCGTACCCGAAACATCAGTACCACACAGTAAGTATAAGAAAAGTGCATCAGCACATGCACAGACATCACTTGAAAGTTATTTAAAGGTCAATGCAATGCAGAAGGAATATCTCAATGTTTCAAGAGCAATCAATCTTTATGGGGCAACCTTAACTAGTTGTGGATGAAATACTGGATTCCTTTCATCCTGTTATGACCCCTGTGTAAGCAAGGAAGAATCAATTTCGCCACATTATGTCTCTCCCTAAAACATCTGTTTGTTTTCTTGTCTGCTTCCAGGGAAGTACAGGTATGCTTATCCAGGAAGCCTGGCAACAATTCAATTTCAGCACTATTACGTGCAAAAAAGCAATCAGGGTTTTACTAAAATGACGACTACTTTCTCCTCTGGTAAGTATTACCAACAATCTCCAGCACTATTAAACGCCCAAAAACCAAAGCAAAATGATTGCATCCCATGCCAATGTGCCCATTCATGACATTAGAATGTACTCACCATTTTTTGAAGTTCGTTGTCGAGTTCCTCTTTCAGTTACTAAAGACAGGAAAAATATTAGTCAGGACAGAGTAAAACCTAGCATAAGGGTTATTCATAGAGGTTGCTACAACAGAAGACTGACCTATTAAAATTAATACTGCAATGGTTGTGCTGTATTTACAAGTATAAAAACTACTCTGCTGCCCAAAAAATCTTTTTTTCGTATTGAATGATTCCTTAGAGATTACCCAGATGATCTGTTCTTATAATTATGAACCATGCCATCTGTAGACAAATGTCATCAATACTGACTGGGTTTTGCCAAGCAGAAAATAGGAGTATTTCAAAGCATTTAAGTATTTTTACACTATTGCTTCCATATATGCAATTTCGCCTTAATAGCGTCATACTCATGATTCTTTAAAGCAAAATACATTATCATTACATTTCCATAACTGTTCTGTTCTGAAGTATTGTTTATTGCATTGGGATTTCAAGTGGAAAAAATCTTCAAGTCTATTAATGAAGAAAAAGCACAAAAAAACCCACAAAGTATCTCTTTGAATTCTTTAAGAACAGGCAAAATGTAAACACTACATTCCCCTGTGTTTTTCAACAAGTCTAGTTACCGGAATATAAAAGACTAGCAAATTTTAGAATAGAAACTCAGATCCAGCTCTAATTATATTCCCTCCAAGCCTCAAGAACATACATGCAAAAATTTCTTCTCTCAGTAAGAAAAGCACTGGTCAAAAAAAAAAAAAAATTAAAAATAAAATTAAAAAAAAGCTGCCCGACACGCTTGCAGTTAGAGCATCACAAGACTTTAAAATTCTATGTTACCTGAGGATTTCCTATCAAAAGAAAAATAAGAATAAAAAGTAAGTATGAAATCTTAAGATATAAATATGTACAGTTGAAACAAAATATTTCTGTGTACACATTTTGCTGTGAGGATGGGAGAAAAGCTATAGAAACAATTTACTGCAGTATGCATTTGAAATGTTGAGAAATACTTCAGTAACACCTAAATATATTCCCTGTTTTCATTGTAATACTCCAGCTCAGAATGGAGGAAGTCGAATATGGAGATGTGGTAATATCACACTATACCATGTTTCTTTTTCAGTAAAAACGTTAAACTCATGAAAATAGACACTCGCTACATGGCATTTTTATCAATTCATAAGATACAAAGCATACAAACTACATCAGTTGTGTCTGACCCAGCCCATCTCACTTTCGTTGAAAAACATTTGAAAAGGGGAGTACAAGTTGGCAGTGGCCAAGGAACATTCCTCATCACAGACAAGGGCAAGACCTCATGCTCGAGAAGAGCAAGGGTGCAGGGCAATACAGAGTAAGCTGCAAATGCAATATTATTCACTTACAGCAGATGAAAGCATTTTATTCCATATTTCTGGTATCCACTACCAGGGTTTGGGTTTTTTTCCCCCCCACATTGAGTTTTTTTGAACAACTTGGCTTACCTGGAGGTGCACTGTGCTTGTATTCTAGCTTGTGCTGTGGATTCTTCCTGCAAAGAAGACAACAGCAAAAGCTGGATTCGTCACCTTGCTCCACAAGTAAGAAGCCCAGAACTCCTTGGTATTTTATGGATAATTTTCATTTCTTTTTAAAATAAAATTCTGTGACCGATGTCTTACTGCAATGTCTCAGCTTTATAGAATGTAGGGTGTAAAAAAAATCAGGTTAAATACGACTTCCTTTTGTTTCAGCGCTAAAAAAAAAAAACCCAAACCCAAAAAACCCCACAGATTGCTGATCAAAACCATGAGATGAGACAGCTTCCAAAGTTGTAAGATGAGATGCATTTGTTCAGCATAATAAGACCTGATCCAGTTATTTACTCTCACTAAAAATGAAATCAGAACGTAACTTCTGGCGCATAAAATACAAAGTATGCACAGTGCATCACAGGTCTGAGACATCCAGGCACAGCTTCCATATTCTGCAATGTAAGGCTACATATGAAATAGTTTGGGGAAATCAAAGAATTTGGAAGGAACTGCTTGTCTTGAAGGATCACAGGGAGAGGCCACAGGAGGATTTTTCAGAGAGATTACTCATTTCTGCAGTATGTTGCTGCAATCCAGCAAGTTCAATTTACAAATGTGTATGTCTTCTATTAAAAAACAGCATCAAAGCAATGAAAGAAAAATTTAAAGTCAATTTACTCTTAGATCCGCAATAAATGTTCCCATCATTCAGGCTGTGATCTAGGTCATTAACACACTGATTTATTCCCCTGCCAAACAGTTATCCAATACTGCTCTAACGTTTTAACTTAGCCCAACATACATTGCGCTAGTCTGTCGTGTTAGTGTATTGGAGGCTTTTCTCAGGGCTGCATGTTAAAATAGTTTCAATTCGATTTATTTTTGTGCAGAAAATTTTTAAAATTTCTAACTTTGGAAGAAAACCAATATCCTAATTTTTGCTTCTGAAAATAAGCAGCAATTAAAGCCTACGATTTAAGAATGACATACCACGTGACATTGCTTGAAACTTCAAATTAATTTCTGCAACTGCAGAAGTTTTGTATATTTTACAAAATACCCTGTTGTGAAGACTACCTTGGATAACTAGTTGCTTATTTATGTTTTCTTATGCTTCCAAAACAGAATATAGTTACTCTTCGGTAGAAAAATCTTATTTTTACATCAAATAACTTGTGACAAATTCACATACTTCAAGTTGATTTACAATTCTAAAGCTAACGCTATCCTGAAGTACATTATAAGTGCATTAGAAGTAACAGTTATCTGAATTAAAAAAATGGAAGTACAGTCTCCTATTAAATACACTACTCAAACAAGAAGAACTGCCTATATCAGTGTTTTACTACTATCGTCAGCATTAAAGCATTTGATCTGAACTCAAGGGATAGCATTTAATTATGCTCCCTTCAAGTAACAGCCAACAGATAATAAGGTCAACAAAAATAACATGAAAACCCCTCAAATTACATCTGTTGCTTTGCTGAAAGAATTATCATTGCTTGGTGGGTGCCTTCTTTCCTCTACCCCAAAAGAATGAAACACAGATTAAGAAATGATCAACTAGTACAGCACAGAGGTTGTCTGATCTGGAAGGACAGTTTTGGTTTTGGATAAAGCATCCGTTGTACTCCTGAAAACTATCTTGGCAATTTCATTACCAGTATAAACCCAGTTTTCTCATCCTGGGATAAGAAATTCAACTCATAAGATGTTTTTCAGAAGAGAAACACTTATTCTGCATTAGCTGAATATAACATGGCTTTTTCTTAAAAACTACCCTCATCTGTTACATTCCATATCGAACACGCTCTTTAGGATCACCACACTTTCTGAGAGAGAGAGAGGAGCAAACGTTTCTGCTCGGGAACAATCTTTACTAACAGCAGCTATTAGTTTCAATATGCCCCCTCAGAAGCGTTATTGCCTCAAAATATATCCTTTTGTCCATTGTGTCAATTACACAGCAGTCATTAAACTCTGATAAATAAAAGTGTAAAACCTAGACACTGAGAAACAAAATGGAATAAAACAGTCTTTTGAAGAAAATCAACAAATTGCTTAAAAGAAACTGTACCAGCCAGTCATAAACCGGATTTTATTGCTGTTACTTAAATACGCCTTCTTACTAATCAGATACTGATTAAAACAGTTTTTGTATAAAATCTCAACAAATACTTTATCAAAATTAAAACTAAAAGTTGCATATCAAGAACAACATGTAACAACAAACTATTGTTTACATAAAAGAAGAACAGTTTACTACATGTCGACAAGTGAAAAAGCATTTATCTCTAGGTCACAGAATAGGTTCCAAAAGTGAAGTTTTCATGTTTGCCAGCTGAGATCACTAGCAAATATCCTGCACAGACTTTAGTGCTCTAAAGGTAGCAGTCAGTCCACAGACAATTTCTGAAGGCTACAGTCAAGATTTTACATTAAGAATTACTCATTATTCTACCGTCACTTTGCAACTCCAGAGGAATACATTCTTAACCTGTAAAACAAGAAAAGTCATCTTGTAGAGTGCTTTTTACCTATAACAAGCCGTTCCATATGGACATTCAGGCCGGTTATCATTGTTATCCCGAGTTACGATCTCCGTTTCGTGATAGTCATCGTCATTAGGGTGACTGAACTGCTGAAAGTGAATGGGATTCTTCCTGCAAAAGACAAACATGTATCGAGAACTGACTGTGCCATTTAAATACAAGGAGTGGAGATAAGACAAGGTGTTACTGAATCAGAGACAACTCATTTTTCTGTGGTTACATAAAGAGGAGCTTTTAGTGTTTAACTTTACACAGAATGGAAGACCTACTTGCAGGATAACAGAAGTCTTGTCTCAGCACATGCTGCGAAAGAGGTTAAACCAAGAATTTTCCTATCTGCTATGAGCTTTAAGTTTCAGACCTCCAACACGTACACAATCTACTGATGCAGTTGTATAGCATGAATCTTGCTTAGTTATGACTCCCTCTGGAGCTATCGAAGTGCCATAGAAACCGCTACGGAAGTCAGCTCAAGCTGGAAATGCCAACACATGGCAGCCAAACAACTGCGGTATTAAAGATTCCCCGCACCCTCGGGAGATCGCCTGTTAGCTTCAGGCAGTCCATTATTATTTCTGTTCTGTATGCAAGTTACTACTTCCTTGAATACTTCAAGTGCCAGTATATTATTCCAGATGGAGCAGTCTACTGGAAACGTCCAGTAGATTACATACATTGATTATGCTCTCAGGTTTGCCTAGGCTACCATGACATTTTATATGAAATATCCAATTACAATGATGACATCAAGTTGTACCATAAGACATAACAACTCTGCATGTAGCTGAGTCACATCGGTGTTGGTGATGACAGCACATTATGAGCATCCACGACTTTTTGCTCTACAACACTGATGCAGTTGAATCCAAGGTGAACAAGTAACGAATATGAATACACGCATCACTGAAAGAACATTTCTACTGCTTCTAAGCAATAGGTTTGCATACACACATACACACCATGCAAGACAAGGCAGCTATAAAGAACACTACTTAGACAAGAGTTTGCTTTACAAAACTTCTGTAAGTGGTATTAAAAATAACACAGAAAAACGGGTTGCAACTTCAGGAGAAATTCGTGTGACAGATTAAAACATACTACAAAAATTATGTGTATGTTCAAAGTGAACATACGATACCAAAAGCAAATCTATTTTTTCCCCAAGCATAATATTTAAAAGCAAGAAATGTGATATATGGTAATAAGTTATTTTCTAAGACATCCACAAAATACTTCAGTGATTTCCCACACTAATTCCCAGAGTACATTATCTTCAATGTGTTTGTGCAAATTATAAAAGTGAACTGCTTGCCTCAAGCAAGAGGAATGACAACTTTAAACTACAGAGTAATTAGCGCTTTAATTTACACTTTTTACAGCTACATTTAGAAGCACAAAGCCAGTAACACGTACCTAGCTAGCTATATACAAAGCAGCTTCGTCACTGATCACAGGCATTCTTTTTTTAAAATCACAACTACCTCTTATGAACTTTATAGGGAACAATTAATTTCAGCATTTCAACTACCACCATAAGAAAAAAAGCTTTTGTTACAGCTTTTGCAAAATGATTACTCAAGCGCTGTGAGCTCTACTAGCTATTCAGGCCTCCTTTTAAGCATTTTAAGAAGCTTAGGTATTTATTATTAACACTTTAAATCTCCATTTGCCTGGTATCTTTCACTCAGAAAGCTCAACAAGTAAGCTGCAGATAAACTCTTCAATGAGCTGCTTATCAAAGTTCCAGTGTCCCTTGGATCTATTTACATAGGTACCAGACTTCTTGTCCTGGTCTTCTCTGTTAATATCTGCAAACTGTGGGGTAAGTAAATAACTTTTACTAGAAATCATTGCAAGGTTGCATTTAACAGTCATTTACTCTACCACATGTTCTCAGGAAATGTCACACCAAATTCAGGCTGGCTGCCTACTTCTTTTCCCATTTAAAAATAAATGGGATGAAACAAAGTCATTTTAGAGGCTATTTGCTTTGTTTTCTAAATGTATAGAGCTAACTTATTAGAAATATTAGCAAGAATTTTCAGTCATTTGTGACACAATTCCTCTTTTCAAAGGGATACAGAAGCAACCAATGTTCTGTGAAATCACTTTCATAAATATTCCTACCATAACATACATGTAGCATCACCAAGGAAAGAAAGCCTAATAGCTGTCATTTAGCCAACCTTTTGTATTTTAGGAGTTACCCACTTTCTTTCAAAAATTTACTTTGAAACCTACTTGGACAACACCAAACAGTCCTTACTGGAGGAGATGGGAAAAAACAAACAAACAAACAAACAAACAAAACAGTACTATGAGAGGAAGGAGGAAGAGAAACGGAAGGGTCTTGATGTACGCTCCCTATTACAAGGCTTCAGGATTCTTTGGGCCAGCGGATGATGCTTCTCAAATTATAAATTACCTGTGAAGCATCTTAAATATGTCCCACTTCAGATGATCAGGACTAGCAGAAACATCATATTTCACCTTACCTTTGCCTGGATAATCTGTACTTATTCCGTTTCTGTGTTGTGCAATGAGATCCAGCAAAATAAGCAGCAGAGAAGTGCATAGCTTATATTAAGTGAACATTTTCCCTTCTTGCAAAAATCTATATCTTCCTCCTTTTATTAAGGGTTTGGTTTGCTTGAAGGTTTTTTTTAATTATTTTTTTAGACACAAGAAATTTGAATTGTAAGAGCACAACGTCTATCATGCCGTAAGTTGCACTCCAAAGTTAATTAGTTTCACAATAAAACCACACTGCTGAGGAATTTGCTATTTATTTAATCAAACAAAATCATTAAGCTTTACTCACACAAAAATTAACCAATTAACAGCCTACTTCAAGAATAAAGTCTTATGGGAGATTTGCCTTCTCATAAATATACTCACACAGTTACTGCAACTTGCTTTCGCAGAAGCTCTAAATTTCATCACTTCATGACACAGAAAATTACGTAAATAAAGATTATGCAAATGAAACTTCTGAAGTTCTTCAGAACCAATACAGCCATCTCAAGCAGAAGTTCAGCATTGCTCAGTGAAATATTTAGGACAGTTTTCTTGTCTGTGCTGCTACCGAAAGCAACTTGAACTTGGTTTAGGAAAAGCTTTTAAGTGATTAGGTCAGAATCCCTGGCTCTTCATAATCACATGCAGAAGACCCCTGCCATCTCAAGGGCTTATTTTCTCATCTACTAAAGAAACTGGTAGTGAAGACGTAATGAATTACCAGCAGCAGTTACAAAGCCATAGAATTCAAGCCCGAAGTTACGCCACAAGATGTTTGCAAGTTCTAAATCGTAAGTCTTATTAGAAGACAGGACTCAAAAAACAGACAGAGGCAGGTCTTCAGCTGCCTGATCTACAAGCTTGAGGTGAAAGGAAAAATACTTATTTTCATAAACAAACAAAACCAAAAATATTTAAAAGAATGCACATACAGATCCAAAGGTTGGTTGAGCCTACCCTGCTTTGACGGTTATGGGAAAGATTTACATGCACCCAGTCAGCAGAGCACTGTATCACAGGCTAGCAACAGGACAGAACTGCGGACAAAAATAAATGGGTTCTGGTTTTAGATATGAGAGTTCAGGTCTACCGCACCCCTTCTATGCAGCCCTTGAAAAGAGGGGTTGGGTTTGGATCTATTTTTAATTCCCTATTCTTCTAACTTCGGAAAAAACAAGAAGCAGACAAGAAAACTAAAACAAGACAGTATTCAAAGAGCAAGTTCCTTGACAATAAACATAGATACAACCTAAACAGAGCACCTTGCCTCCTGGAGATAACAGCAGTTTCTTTCAATTTGGTAAAGCTTCAGGCTACCTCAGAAAGAGAATCTGACACTGAAGGACAACGACAAAAAGAATTCCTGGAGCAAGAGGTGTGCATCAAGCTTGATTCTTTCAAAAGCAATGTTTTCAAATTCATAAATGAAGAAACTGAACTATGGGTTACAAAACAATTTCCTAAATGTTTATGATATGTGTTAAGAGAAATCTAATAAAATTAAGAGAACTAACATTTAATCTTTTCAATTTGTGTTATTTTACTACTCATCTACCAAATGTGCCTAAGTTGTATCCAGAGTACAAGTATCTCTTAGTAGGAATTTACAAAATAAAGACTAGCACTCTGAACAGCATTTAGTTATTTAATAAATTACATTTTATGAATAAGAAACCTCACCCAGAAAAAAAAAAAAAAAACCAAACAACAAACAAAACTTTAAGGAAATGTTACGGTTACCAAAGCAGTACTTATTTAAGATGCTGACTTCTACAGCACATCTTGTTAGAAGACACCTTTCATAAGGTTAAAGTAATGAAGAAGAGGCAAACCAACTACCCACTGAACTCAAAAGTATACTCAAAATAGCTCCTCTAAAAACTAGTTTTTGCTCAAGAAAAACAGTACACTATGAAAAACTGAATACGCTATCAATGTGTTCCTTCAAAGCATACATTCATGTCACACTTACGTACATGTTCTGCTAAAAATATGGATAACTGCAATGGCTTGCTTTAATCTAACAGCTATCCCATTAATGCAGAAAGACTACTTGGCAGTCTTGTATTAAAAGCAAACACTAAGACAGACTACAAAGCGTATTTTTTTGCTGCAAACAAGCAGGTTTAATCTCAGGACACTTCCTGCAGATCAAAGCTGATGTTTTTGATACTTCACATTTACAAACTTCTCAGTACAATATTACTGCTGCCAACAGTTTTAGAATAAAGACCCAAGAACAAATGTGCATATATAGACTCCTATTCCATATTACCTGTAACTAAAATTTGACTTCATAAACATTAGGAATCCTTCAGATATTAGCGCATTAAATCAGCTTAATCCCCATACAAGAGAAAACCTGTCTTAGCAAAATTAAAAGTAGCTGGAGCAAACTAGAGGCTGCATTTGTACTCCTGGATCATCTCAACTGCCTAATAAAACATGTTTTCATCATATTCATTACGGGACAAAATTTGAGATATGTGAAAAAGAGCTACATGAAAGCTGGAAATCAGATGTATTTGTTAGTGTAACAGCTTTACACTTCTGATTTACACAAATGTAAACAATCCATTTACTTGTGCTTGTTTTCTAAACAACCTCACTGTTTTTCCCATTGTGCAAGCCCCTTGGCGGAAACAAAGAAGGCCGGGGGACTCAGGGTGGCGAGCCCCTGTTTCCTGGCTTAGCCTTATCTTTTGTGCTTACAGCGTACACAGATTTATGTAGAGCTCAAAGCCTTCTCCTCAATGCAGTCCTCAGGTCATTGGTCATCTGCTAGCCTCAAGACCACATGTAGATTTGTATCTTCCCTTTGAAATATTAACATATGGCACTCCAGATGTTTTCCGGGCAGAAAGAACTATCACGAAGCCAAGCATTCAGCACCAGTGTTTTGGAACATTACTGGAACATTTGTATCGCACAAAACATTTATATGACCGACCTTTCAGTATGAAGTGAGAGGATATGAGTAGGAGGAAAAAAAACCAAATTTGTTCTTCACTTGAAGTATTACCAAAGACACTGACCAGATAAGGGTTAACATGAAGTTTGGAAGTATGCCTTGTTCTTGTTTTAGGAAGGGACTAGCCAATTTATAGCAAGAGTAATTCTTGATTATTTAGGGATGATATACAATAAATATTTTAAATATTCAGATCACAAAAAATGCAGTAACTTCAATAAATACAATCATTTTTCATAGAAATTTCATCTGCTAATAATACTAGCCTAGAGTGTCTAAGTTGAGCATTTCAAACATTTACATCTCTTCTCCCTGCTGGTACATGTAATGTACACACAGGTTTTTTTATTTCTTTTCTTTTTAAAATGGGCCTTTGTTTCTTATTTCCTAAAACACTTCATCTTTTGATTTGCTGAAGTACTTCATCCCCTGTTTGGGTTATACTAGCAGTTAGCAAGACATCCTGGTTCCTCCTTTTACACTTTTAAAAAACTCTTGTTATGCCATTTGTTTCTCATCAGTCCCCTGCTTACTGAAAGATTTTTTTTTCAAATCAAAGCTTGTAACAACTTTACTGTTTTCTCTTCCATAGCTAATACATTACTTCTTAACAGTAAGCTATCTTAAGCTAGTTTTAATTTTGCTTTACCTGTAACAGCCTGTTCCATACATGCAAGGTGTCCTCTTACGCTTGATCTGTTTGGAGCTTTCTGAAGCATCTGCACTTCTGGTTGAATCAGAAATCTCAGTCTCGTAATCCAGATTTGCATCAGGCTCAAGAATCCCTTCCTGGGCACCAAAATATTGGGAAGTCCTGCCCCAGTGAGCTTGTTGGCTTGTAGAACCAGTAATCTGCTCTTTGTTTTCTGTTTCCTCAATTACATTTGTTTTATTGGAGATGTGACCTATTCTTTTAGACCACTTACTATGCAGCTGCCTACCATTTTTTTCCAGAGAACTTCCAGGGGTTTTTGTTCCAGTCTTGCCACTTCCTTCCATGCTTCTCATGGTACTCTCAAGGGGAAATCCAGATGTATTCTGTGGAACAAGGTTACATTTTGAAGGACCTGAAAATTTACAGTCTTCAGAATTCAAAGCGTTAAGGTCAAACTCTGCCTTATCTCATCACTCTAGTTTTCAAAATTATAGAATAGCCCAGTTTGGAAGGGACCTCAAAAGATCTTCTGATCCAGCCTTTAAAATCTTCTACTCCACTTTCCAAACTGAAGTTAGCTGCTGAATGAAAGGCTCGAGTTAAGAACATACAGACACAATTTAAAGAAAAATTTATCCTAGAACTCCTGTCCTCAGCTTCAGTTCCCTCGTAACACAGACGGGCTTCTCTCTCACCACTGCAGTTTGTGAATAGTCCAAGGACTTTAGCTTAAATTAATTTTCAATTAAAAGTACTGCTCCTGAAAAATGAATGGGGATTATACTTGTGAAGATACAGTAGACTCTAGAAGAATGTAAATTCCTATACAAGAATCAATTTTAATCCCTTAAGTACCAAGGTATATGGGATATAGATATATTTACCTACATGCGGGAGATACAGGGGAATTCATGATATGCACCTCAAGCTTAATCCCATCCGAATACATCTTGTATGCTTCAGCTAATGACTAAATCATAGAACAGTTTGTCAGTAGCTACCATAAGTCAACAATTTCACTCTTGACAAATACTGAATTTTAAACTTTGGAACACAGGTACACTTAAAATAAAGAGACGTGTGTTTTAGAAAAAGAATGAGATACATAACCAAGACAAGGCCATTGTCCCAACAACCAAGACATCACCTGGAAACATACCTATATTGATGGCTGAACTACTTTGATACACTACAGAGTTATTCAAAGGTCTCTGCTCTCTAAAGTTTATTACCTAGGTTCCCTCTCCAGTAAATCTATACTTAGTTTACAAGGATGTTTTTGGCAGAGCTTGAAAATCAGCTGGTGGTTTCCCATTCGATTTTGTTCCTTTCAATGCAAGTCTCACAAAATCTTAATCACATTGCTGCTCAAATATAATTGTCTCTGATTTTGGTTAACAAAGAGCAAAGTCAGCATTAATATCGAACGATCCTGACAGCAGCATATTTAGTAAGTCAAACTAGAGACAAAGATGACTCTTTCATCAAGACTCCCAAAATAAGGCTCAGCAAACAACTGTATCTTAGGAAACATGCCTTCATTTGAAAAAGGAAGACTAAATTAATTTGTCACTCCCACTTGTGTCTTCTCTACTACATACTTCAACCCACTGCCTATATTGTACCTAACGAGAGCAAACACCTTCATTTCTATTCTGTCAACTAGTTAACAAACAGGTTGCAAGGAAGGAAAACCAGCGACAACAGCACTAGTGGCACTGGTTATAACGTGTGTATGACCTCACTGCCATCTGGTGGCTGTTGCTGCTTTGAAGAATTAAGCTTCTTTTGACTTCCTACCCAACAGCAGATTTTCTCAATTGCCTTAAGTATGACAGCAGGCAAGTGATTTTGGTTTTGCTATCAAAATTCCAATCTTTTAGAGATCTCTATGATTGTTACTTTTGCTTGCCCTAACCCATTATTTTTCTGCAGATTTCTGAAGGCAATTTCTTACACTGCTCAAGATACAAATTATTTATGAAATCATTAGGAGAAAATACATAAGGCTTCATACTCACAAACTGCAATATGAAGTAATTTATTATATAGTCACTCACCTTATAATCTCACAAAGAGAAATTAGCGCTGCAGCTGGTATTAATGTACCTAGCCAACAACAAAGCTCACCACTCAGAACACTTCTTCAGATTAAAAGATACCACTGTGTTATATCAAAACTATCCTGAAGGGTATGCTATCCATGAGATGGTAATTTCAATTAACCTTCATATTTAATTAAGAAACAAAACCAACCCCCACCCGTATTCAGTGTCAAAACCAATGAAGCATACCAAGTAATAGTTATTTAAGTATTTTATCAGATCCTAAAACAGATCCAGGCAATTCTAACGCTAGAGATTAGAAACACCTCCCCAGGTTGTTCACTTAAAAGTCAGTGAAAGCCTCAATTCGCTCTAACCAGAATATGTTTTGTTTGTCTTTGATAATGATCCTTCTCTTCTCATTACTAGCAGGGTGCTATCAGTAAGTATTTAACTGCCTATAAACGCAGCTGTACTTTGGGGATACACAGACACACTGACCAGCTGGACTGACATGTCTCTTCACTCACTGCCACAGATCCGTTCTGGATTTCAGATTACTTTTTTTATTTTTCCTTTTTTTGACCAGATTTTGTAATAGTGGCCTAAGCACACTCCCTGATATCTTCAAAACATAGTGGTTGCTAAACCACATACCATAATTTTCTGACCACAGAATTTCACCAACTAGAATGGCACTAATTTGGACAAATTCCACTGCTACATTACATCAGCACCATACCATCACCTATCTATCCCTAAAGGGTTCCCGGAAATAGAAACCACACACCAAGCCACTCCTAGGACCAGACCTTTGGCCCACATCTTCCAGCCTTTTGCTGTAAAGCTGAAAGTCTGGTATTTCTGTAGAACATTCTGGGACTAAATCCCACACCCCAGGAAGGAAGTGCAGAAAACCAGGTCTCTGAAGGCTTCCAGGATCCTTGCTATAGAGCTGTCCAATGGACTGGCATTTCAAAACAACTCTCAAACAACAAATCACAAGCAGAACGCATAGTTTTATTGTAGACCCAACCTTCAGCGTGACATTCCCAACTACATTCTCATTCTTCAAAATACCATGGTTCTGCCTTGAGCCAAAAAATTACCTGAGATGAAAGGACAGGGATGGAAAGACAGCTCCTTTTCCCTTGATCTTGTTCTTCACCTTCAAAATCCTCTATCGTTTCTTCAGAAGCTAATCTTTTTTTCTGCTGCACATTTACTTCTGATTTTAATGACTCCACATTACTTTCATCCCTTTCTTGGCCTTTTTTCATTCTACTACCTTAAAAGAAAAATAAAAGCGTACTTTTGGAATGCAATTTTTACAGTGAAATCCTAACCACATTAGAAATCTAAAGCTACATTGAAGCAGAACACTGGGCAAAGAGCATGAGAAATAGCAGCAGTTGTGCATGCGTTGTTTCAACAATACATTTTTCACTTCCTGCTTATGGGAGTAAAAAGTACAGTTTAGAATGAAACAGATGCTTGAGGGGGAAATTTGGAGGAAATAAATTTACTAAAAAGAATATTCTGGACTGACTGTATCAGTATGACTGACAACCTCATTTACACAACAGAAGCTGATCGAGTAAATCACATGTTTAAGGGTGACTATTACGGCAGACCTTTTGTGTAAGTATCACTTCAGACTACCAGTTTATCACGCAAACATCAATCAATTACGACATGGCAAAAATCAGAGTATGCCCACTTGCCTAGTCAGCCATGTCACAGTTGATTATTTCATCAGCCAGTAACTGACAGAAACACAGCAAACACTGTGCCTCTCTTTGAAAACCTTCACATCCCAGAAAACTACGTTCTCTGTAGTATTTTCTGGATATACAGCTGGGAGACAGGTAGGGCTGTTGTCCTGGTTTTATTACAGCTCCATCCGCTGCAAAACACATTCAGAAGGAAGATGCTTCATGCTATTTTGCAAGACTTCAAAAACTCCCCCTCTTCAAAAAATACTGACATGCCAGTCATTTGTATGAAGCAAGGAATTCTTTCAAATTTTAATCTCTGACTTCAAAACCACAGATCAGTGTTCCCTTTCCAGCAGGAAGACAGACAGAAGAAAAATAAATCGGCAGCATTTTAGTTTTACTCTCTACCTTCCCATCCAATACCACCTTAAAAAGATGCAAACTATTTCACAATTTTAAGGAAATATTTTAGATTTGCAGAAGAGATTGGTTGTGTCATTAATGCAGCCTATTCTAAGCTGGAATCATCTTCTCACGTAATGAATTTTTAAACAGCTCCAGTAGTGTTCGTATGTATCCCTAGCTCCCTCAAGGTCAGGCCTTCAACAGCACGCAGATACTGCTTACCCACACAGCTCCAACTCTCAACACCCATGTGATCAAACCGCTCAGTCTTTGAAACAAACATTATATACATGTATATAACAAATATTATAGCACTTCTAGAGAAAAACCGAACAAACAAAAAAAACCCAACCCCCAGAAAAACCAAACAAGCCAATCATAAGAAAACAATCACAGCAGTGCAGAACTCCACAACTGAACATAGCCAGCGGAAGTCCTCTGGTACACGCAATTTTTACATCCAAGGGAATAAGCCAGCAGGGAACAGCCTAGATTTGGAAAGGGGGGGGAGGGGGGAGAGTTTCTTTTGCTTCTTATAATTTCCTCAAAATTAGCTTTTGAGGAAAGGAAAGGGCACGGTAACCAACAGCACAAGACAGAGGTGTTTAAAGCCTGCCCCAGGTCAATCCATCCAGACAGCTGCATTTACTACAGAAGACAAGAAGCAATTCATCAGGCACTACACAAAATACTTCTGCAGGCCTACCCGGACATCAGGAGCCCGATTTTTCCATTACGTCATCTCAGCAGAAATAGCAGGTGGAAACAGAGTTTACAGAATAGCTGCTGGACACAGAGGAGCGGACACACACACACCAGCCACAGTTCATACACTTCAATAGACCAGCGAAGGAAACTCAGCAGTTAACACCTAAACCACCTCACATCTCACCACAGAACAGCAAGCAGGGTGAGGCGTGCTGTCTTCGGCACACAGAAAGACAGAAACGCTGGGGGAGCGTTGTTACTGTACACAGTCATTTTCCTTCTCTTCGCACATTTCTTTAGTTCTCCAGTTCCATCGATAAAAGTCATCAGAGCAATAAATGCCTTCACGTAAGTTTGTCAGAGAATGTCTAAAGGCAGTTTTAGAAGACTTTACAAGCTCCCAGCAACAAAGCTGGACATGCTGGTAATTTTCCTGGGATTGTGCCACTGCGGCACCCTTGTGTCTCCCATTGATAGAGACTAAACACAGTATTCTGCTGCTGTTAACGCTGATACGCAGCGGTAGAAATTTATCGTACATTCAGCAATTTCCTTTCACAGGAAGGACACGAGGGAATGCAATACTATTTTAGCCTCATATTGATAAGAAACTACTATAATTTGATGAAATCCTCCTCCTAGGAAGAAACTCTGGACTACATGAGCAAGTCTGATTCAGTCACAGTTAAAAATAAACTAACACGCACCATTGCCAGGAAAAAGCTTCACCTTAAAAACCTGTGAAATTAGAAGAATCTAAATTTAGAAGGGCAATCAGTGACTTCAATGTGGAGAAGGCTTGGAATTAAAGGCACAGAAATTACCTAGAATTTACATATTAACAAGACAGGTGAGTTTATAGGAAAGGGCTCCAAAACATCAGATGTTCAGCTGTCCAAAGCGAGTCTATTACCTAGCATAAAAAAAAAAAAGAACAAAAAGAAAATCAACTGATCAGAAAGAACTATGTCACACCTGTAGGACTGATGACAAAGGAGACAACAGAAGTCAGTGTCTGTCAGGTGCCAGTCACAGAACATGGAATGAGAAGTAACAAATTAATATTTTCTACTACCACAATTACAATTTAAGAAAATTAAATCGAAGCACATAAATGCATATTTGTATGCAAACACATTACACGGCAAACCTACCTTCTTTAATTACAGGCTCAGAAATCCTCTGAACCAGCAGGTCTCTTTCCAGCATCCAAGATGGAAGCACTCTCTTTCTTTGAATAGATTTTGACTGTTCACTTTCATTATCATCATCAGGAGGAACCTGAAACAATATTTACTGTTTAGTACCTTTCTCCAGTTACAAAAGAGGTGGAAAAACGAGAACACAAGTTTGAACACAGTTCTGTCCTTCAAACGAAGCTTAGTTGACTACCTACTAAAAAATCTCCTTAGACCTCCAGAATAAATATCTAAAAGGCTACAGACCGGAAGTTTCATAGAAGAGTTATATCAGCATCTTGCTGTAGAGTTGCAACACATAGAAATAAGAGAAAGATGTTTAACAAACAAATGCCTAGCTGTCAAAAGCCAGACAAGTCTTGCTAGCATTCTCTCAATTCCCTTCTCCAGAAAGGAACCACACTCTAAACAAATTAAACACACCAAAGCCATGTTCAGTACATACTTATGTATGAAAGTAATATTATCGGTTTGAATCTCTGCTTACTAAAAGCTAACTATCCATCCCAGGAATCTCAGCTACAGTAAAGGCTGACACTTCATTTGTCGTATGTGGTTATCTACCAAACAATGACGTTGACCAATGTGCTCCTCTTAGCATCATGTTGCTGGAAACACAACAGACGACGTAAGAAAAATCCCACTGACTCCATACACTATTTATCAGACTGTCTGAAAGACATGTTACTCAGCAACGTTTAAAAAAAGCAAAAGACATTTGCTTTTAAAACTCTGTTTTGCTAGACAGCATTCTGGCTGCCAAGGAAAAACTGGGGGATTATTTATCTGCATGTTGATATGGATCTTAAACAACACAATTCCATCACAGCTGTACAATTCAAATGAAATAGGCTGTTAGTACACTATAAAGAGGTATCACTTACAGCCAGCACAAGGCATCTACAGTCCAGCCACAGGCTCTCCAGACATAAATTTCAGGGGCTTTTAGGCTGTCTGAAAGTCAGTCATTCATTCCCCTAGGCCTTCACAGGTACTTAGAGCACTGATGCAGACCAGAACTGGACTTTGTACTGTAGCATTGAACTCAGCTACCATATTGTTAGCTCAAAATATTCCTTTAGCAACAGCAATTTCTGTATATTCCAGAGAACCAATTACTGCAGTATAATTATCACACATACACAACAAATACTCTTATATACTTGTATAGCACACAATCGAAATAAATAAACAACAGATATTATCAATATACAACTTCGATTGTTGTCATTTACTTCTCAGGAAAAAAAAATTCTTTAAGAAACACCACGCCTTTAGTTAATTTTCAACTGCTGCTTACAAATATTAAATTTAATTAAAAAAAAAAACACCCACCAGATGTCTGGAAGTAGCATCACTTTTTCTCATTTTTGCAGTTCCCTGTATCTCAGAGTTGGAACATGCTGGTTCTATCAACGACGGACTACAAGACATCTTAACAGGATGAACAGCTGGTCCTTCTTCTGCATCAGCCTCCTGATTTTTTCCTGACAAAGCAAAATTACTTTTAGCTAGTCAAACTCATCACAAATAAAAACGTGTACTTTTTCCTCAGACACAGAACTTGGTCTGAACGTTTACCATTAACACACTTCTAAACTGAATGTAACATACTGTTAGATCGAGAACAGAGGAAATACACACGCCTTCCCTTCCACCTTCCACTAGAAGTATTTTGAGACCTTCCAATCACTGCTGACTTCTCAAACGTTGATTGTAGACTAAAACTCAGGTAACAACGTTAAGGTTCACAGTTTTCAGGGCCAGATGCCTAACGAACCCAGCACTTCTCGGCAAGCTCTCACCAAGGGCTACAAGTCTGCAGCTCCGAGGTGACACCACACGCTCCGGCGCTGGTTTTAAAAGCCTCAGCTCCGAGCCGCCATGTCTGAAGTACTTTCCATCGTGAAAGCGCCCCGAAACCGCAATCGTTCTTCCTTTAACGCTTTGCCCTTCCGCTAGTCGAGTCACCAGCACAAAGAACTGGGGGTTAGAAAGTCAACTGCTGCGGTATTCACTGCACAGCACCGCTCGGGTCACTGCGGGCCCTTCCCCAGCCTCTGGCATCGCAGGGACGGCGCAAGCCGCCCAGCTGCACTGCTCCTCGTGAGGAGAGACACAAGCGGCC